GCGATGTAGTCACCTTTTTTAATTGTTAAATTACTACGAATCGGGTAGAACATTTGCGGTAATTGAGGTGAGCGACGACCGATTTCTGTCCATTCTTGTTCGTTCTTCTCGCCACGAACACGATAAGCCGAATTGACTAGACCCAACTTATGAGCATGAACTCGAAATGCAAATGGATGCATTTCGATATTCTGTTCAATTTGACAAGCAGCTTCGAAGATTTCTGTGAAAAATAAAGATCAAGGCTCGGAATTAATGGAGTTTTATATTGATATACCTTCAGAATTCGGTTCGATTTGACCACCAGTGCCGGCAATAAAGATACCAGCGCGCTTAGATGTACTGAAAGAATAAACAACAGATAAATATCATGTGTTTTCAGCTGGTTTAGTTACGGATTAGCCGTTGTTGTTAAAATCAAACCAGAATGATCCGTTTGACCAGCTATCGAAAAGAAAAACTTGAACAAATTTTTATCTTTTATCCCTCAATTACCTTTGAATTTGTCAATTTTAGCATAATGTACTTGTAAGACAAGGTATTTGATCGGTGTTGTTGCGCCGATTTTGAACGCAACATCTGAAACTGAGTATCAAATAACATCGATTCACATCGACATTTTACCTTTTGGCAATTCCGTTTTATCGGCATCTAAAGCCCATGCATAGACAATCGTCGAGCCTGACGCACATGTTGGTCCTGTTTCATATTTATTCGATGCCGAATCCGATGCTTGAGACATTTCACCACAATTCCTAAAAGGTCTTAAATCGATCTTTGGAAAGGGAGTAATTATTCACTGACCAAACTTTCTTGTGACTTCCGGGTTCTGTGCATCCATAAAGTAAAATATGGTGTGCATCGTTGGAAGTGGCAGATGGGTTAAATGCCGCTAAAATCACCCAATCAAATCGGTCTGTCTCATATGGAACCGTTCTTACTTATATAAACTGGCTTGTCATGATCCAATTCAACCGATGTACATAGATAATCATCGACCTAAGAAACAATACTCGAAATTTTCTTAAATAGATAATGAACATTCTCGTACATGATTAGCAATCACATCAGGCATAAGAACAGCTAATGTATTCGATGCATCTTCACTAGCGAAGCTGAGTAATATCGAGGAAAAGACAAGAATGATTGACAATAGCATCATTCTTGGAAAATACGAATTCTACGAAGATCGACAACAAGCCGTTATATATATATAGTCGAAAACAATCACGAATCAAATTCTTTCGCCGCAGACAACGATTTCGTCTTTGTTTTTTTTTCTTTCTGTAACATAGTTGTCGTTACAAACACAAACAGTTCTATATAAAAACACATGTGTGAAATGTAATTTGGCTGACATGTCACATCACTTATTCAATGGAATAATCTCACAGAATTCACTGAGTCAGACAAAAAATAATGGTGATTACTACTTCATAGGTCACGCATGTTATCTAATCAATATTGTATCGCTCGTATGATTATTCAGTTGGAAGGAGAAGGAAAGAATTCGTTGCTATTGAATCAATTCTAGAGCGAACAAGACTCATGTATATGCGTGTATTCGCTGATCAGACGAACTAACGGTTAAAGAACAGGTAAAAGAAAGAAAGAGGTGAATTGGTCGAGCCAGAGAAGTCCTCGATGCTTCGTTCTTATTCTACAGTGTGTGTGTTTAGTAATAATATATGACATTTTATGATGCATGTGTGTATTGACATTTGACCGCTTGACAAAGAAGAATGAATTAAGAAAGAAGAATTCGATTTTACTTGTTACAAATTCTACTCGTATCGAATGATGACATTATTAATCTTTTTTTTTCTATTATAGAGAATTATTATCAAAAGAAATATCTTCTGTCGCAAGCACGTCCTCTCTCTCTCTCTCTCTCTCTCTCTCTCTCTCTCTCGTTCTTTGAGTATTATAGGACTTGGAAACGAATAGAAAAAGATGAGATAAGAAACACGTTACAAAAATGATTCCATTTCGACGGCTGACGCATTCGTTGATCGTTGTTTTCGTTTTAACTTTGGTACTCATTTTATCAGTATTCACGAAGATCTTCTTTCAAGCGAATCATCATCACGTAAATATATTTGAAAAATACTTAAACTTCACCTCTGAACTTCTACTTCTAGTCTTCTCATTCCGCAATTCTTGAAAAGATTGTTGATTCCAATGATCAACAGTTCGATATCATTCAAATCGACAATCATCCATTAGCATTTTATGTTCATTTCGATCTGAAAGGTGCGGCACCGAAAGTGTCCTATTTCGAAAAGTTGTTTCCTTTGCTGCATCAATGGGGCGTGAAAGGTATCTGCATGGAATACGAAGATATGTTTCCGTTCGATGGAATTGTCCGTTCGATCAAACACAAGCAAGCCTACACGAAAGAAGATATCGAAACTATCAATCAATTAGCGAAAGACAATCGACTAGACGTTATGCCGCTACTACAAACTTATGGTAAAGATGAAAATCATCGGTGATAAGAAAGATCTCGTTGTTGTTTTCTTTAGGACATTTGGAGTTTTTGTTGAAGTTGAACGAGTTCAGTGATTTGCGCGAGAATCCAAAATATCCACAAGTGATAACACCGTGCGTAGATCGAACATATACTGTTCTATATTCGATGATTGATCAGTATTTAAAACTTCATCCTGACATTCGTTTCTTTCATATTGGTCATGATGAAGTTTATTATTTTCTAACGCATCCTGCTTGTGCAGAATTTCAACGTGCAACTGGAATTCAAAACCAATATGAATTATTCGCTTATCATTTAAACAAAATTGTTAGTTATATCAAAAAACGATCTCCAAACATTGAACTGCTCGTTTGGCATGATGTTTTGCAAAATTTAAATTTACAAATGCTGCAACGATATAATTTTCTCAATTCGATTCATCCGGTTCTCTGGTCATATCGTGAGGACATGCAAGTCGAAGGTTTCGTCATTGGTTCTCAAGCTGACCTCTTCGGACAATACAAATCCCTGTGGGGAGCAACTGCATTCAAAGGAGCAACACATGAAATTGCCACGATTAGTGATGTGAAACATTACTACGAAAGTAAAGAATAGTTTTAGTATCGTGTTGTTCCTATTGCTTAGCATTTAGATCAAGTATCTTGGATAAAGCAATTGCAAACATATCATCGAACGAAATGGAGAAATTTCCATGGAGTTATTTTGACTGGCTGGTCGCGTTATGACCATTTCCTTTCCCTATGCGAGCTTTTACCCTATTCGATTCCGTCGATGTTATTTTCAATTGCGGCATGGCACAAGCAATTTCAAAGTCTTCCTCGGAATCAAAATCTACCCCATCAGCTACAAAACTACGTTCAACAGCAATTACAATGCTCATCAGCACTTCATTTGAATACTCAAGATCATTTTTCGACAAAACCAATACCGAAGTTAGTTTCACATTTCTCACCTTATTTTATTTTGCTTGCCGATGTAGATGCCGATTTCCTGGGGCGGGTGTGTACGAATCACTGATTTCTTTGGGACGTATTTGGAACCAAGTTGAACAAGCAGAATCGTTTGTAAATAAATATGTTACTGATCTTCATGTAAAATACAATTATATTCACGTCAAGCGAGGAGAAGAATGCTTAGAAGTCCTACGACCTGCAATTCATGCCTTACAAAGCTTTATTAACTTGTTTATTCATTCTATGAATGAAGTTTTTCCTGAGCAAGTGGCGATCGAATGGCTTGAAACGTATTTTATGCAACGGTATAATTTAGTTTATCGACGATATGAATTCATTCAACGTGCAGTTCGTGAACAGAAGTCATGGGATACTCGGCCAATACCGAATATAAACAAACTCGAGGCGAATTTGACAAATGCGAGATGATACTTTTATTTGCAGAAGAAAATTTGTGATAAAAGTCTGTGAATTTTTAAAAATATCTTACGTTTTGAAATTGTGTTTGTTTTGTGTATGAAAATATACTTAAATAATGATTAGAATTAATATTTTCCTTGTGGTGTTGTTTCGGAGACAACTGCCGTGTATGTAGGAGGTGCATCCTCGCGCATGCTGTGAACAGGAACAGCTGCTGGTCGACCAGTAGCGAAGTTATGACTAAAAGAATGGACTTGATACACCGGCTGTCCAGGAGTTGGTGTAAAGACTGGAACGGCTCGTGGAACTCGTCGATTATTGACAGTATTGAAGTGTATACAACAGCGTATACAGATTGATAGAATGACAATACATGCAGAGACGATCCCGATAATTGCGTATGTTGGTAAACCGCGACAATCTCCATAGTACGTGCCACAGGTTTGGCCAGCTAACAGAATATATGATTAAGAATCAATCCAGAAATAGAAGGCGAACTTACAGTAGCAATAATATGTGCTATAACCACTGTAACACCATTCAGCAGATATTACACTGATGAATGATAGTAGGATAAATAAAGCGAAACTTTTTGATTGAAACATGCTTTAACTGCGACGTGATGTTTATCTTGGAAGTGAAGCAAACTAGCTGAGGTGAGCTTTCATTAAATAGTGACCGATATGATGTCATTGATAAGAAGGAGCAAACAGGATCTTTTCGCGTTATTATGATAAATGTGAGTCAGATTTCTAAGGATTAGAGATGTGTCCACGTGTATCAGAAAAAAAGCGAAATTTTCACTATTTAGAATCGAAATACAGGTATGTGTAATAAGAGTTTCATTTTCGGTTGCTTTTTTTTCACATAAGTGCATTTTAAAGAACGACCGAAATACTTTATCGTACTTCAATTGTGAGGTATCATAAAAGCAATGTTTGCAATCTATCATCAAGTTTTACAAACATCATGTTTTTCATTGCTGCTTCGCAACAACGAACAATTCCATGTGACTGATATAAAACAAATTTACGATGAGGATTTACAATATTGTCATGCTCTGACTAATCCATTTTAGTCTTCACATCTACATTCATTTCGAAAAATGTTCTTTTTCTCTCGAGAATTGTATATCATGAACAGATACAAGTGTATCCATCGCCACAAATTCCACCGCTTTTATGAGCGTATGTTCGACACCACTGATCGCAAGTACATGCATCGCCTAAAACCATACGAAATATCAATCAAAATACTCTGACTTTATTGATTTACCTTACCGATAGAATCATATGGAATAAATTCATCGCGGCAGACACATGAATGACCATCAGCACATACTCCAAATGATGAATTGTGTTCCTTACACCATTGTTCACAACCGCATGTCGATCCTTCGGTAAACTCTAAAGTAAAAAAATGTTTATTTTTGAGAATAATTCGCGCATGTTGTTGTATTCTTCACTCAAACGTTCTTTGTCATCATCGACTCTTTTCCGTGGAGTTACAGGTGTACTTAGTTGAGGAATATCTTCCGTATTTCCCCACCGATGACTATTCGAATTGTTTGCATTTAAATGATTCATCATTTGACCAAGTTTTACATAAAGACATATGATCCATACACACTCAACGATAGCGACTATCAATAGAATTAACAATAAGATATTCCATGGTAATCTAGACACTTGCGTCTTCGCACAACAATAATATGATTGTTGAGAATGTACGAGAGGTTTTCTCTGTATTTTATTTACAGGTATTGTTGGTATCTGATCAATACACTCATTGTTATTATTCGTTTCATCAACAAGTCCTAAATGACATATCTTCAACTTTTCACACATCTGGCTAAAAATCACTTACTAGTCCTAATCGTGGCATGATCTTCGTCATCTAGCATTAACCGATCGATGAGCGATGGCATGAGTTCAGATAGACTTCGTGTTGGTTCATTCGTATTATTCATGTGTGCTAGAAAGGAACTCAATTGTTAATCAATTTGTTTTCTTTTAAGCATCTACCTCGTAGACATCTGGCAGCATCAAAGCATCCGATCTGTTCGAATGCTCTAATCAACAATGTCACATCAGTTGGATGAATCTTTTCTTGATCGAATAAACTTTCTAAAAGACTGAGAGTTCCACCAAGTGATTGATCATCTCGAATACGGCGAGGTACATCATCAGCAAGAAAGAAATGGAGACGTTTTCGATCATCATCACTAAGACGATCTTGAAGATTTAGAAGTATTCCACGCAAACGGCGATTATCCATTGAGCAACTAGCTCATAATATTTTAAATATCTGAGAATCAAAGAATAGAATACATACTTTGTGTTGGTAGAAAAAAAAACGCAATATTGACCGTGTATTTAAAGGTATTCTTCGTAAATATATACTCGAATGCATGATGTGTCTATACTATCAGAATAATTCGATATAAAAATCAACATGTTGTCGTCCAATCAACGAAAAATTCAAGCGAGGACAATAATAGAATGTGAAAAAATGTATTATTGCCAATAAATGACAACACTGGATGTCTGGAGAAAAGATAAGTCACATAGAAATCTACGAGAAAAACTAAATACATCGACTTGATCTTTGATAGTTAACATCTTTGTTATTCACGTGATTCCGAAGAATCTGGAGGAGAGTGAGTGTTTTGAAGATTTTTTTTAGATTATAACAAAAACCCCTGCCATCTACAGATATTTACTTTAATTTGTAGATAGGTAAAAGCCACATAAAAGTGTTTTTCAGAAAGTTATTTTTGTTCTGTTGGATTTTATCATTGTTCGTGGAAAAATCAACAAAGCTACTTTCATGAGTATTTTTTCAGTCATAAAGAAAAACAAAACGTAATTTTTTGTGAAGCCAACAGTTGAAAATACGTTTACTCTATGGCGCAAAGACCGACTAGGTAATGTCGAGTATTTTCGTTTATTTCTCAACTAATGATCTTTCATTACTAATCGCATGCAAAAGTTATTTATCACACAACTAATATATAAACAAAAAGTCGAAAGAAAGTGTCGATGTTTCAATACACGTTCAAGAAATCCGACAGTATTAACTGTATTTTTCTAAAGAGGATATAAAATGTACGGAGAAAAGATCAACATTAGTGTCAATCGTCTTAGAATAAGTATCGATTCGATCACAGAGCATTTGATTTTCAAGATTTAAATTCATTCTAACTTGTTCGTTACATAGAAAGGTTCAAATGACATATGATGAAAGAGAAACACTAACCTCAGGTCGAAACTGTGCTGAATGTAAAAAGAAACCACCGCAAGTCCAGTGTCTCCATTGTTCACAATTCGTCTGCCTTGAATGTGCTCAGAAACATGTCAATTTAGTTGCACTAGAAAGCGAAGATGCAATGCATTTCTTAAACGAGAAACTTGATATTCTTGACCAGATTGCTGCCATCGCTCGACAGAAGATAGTGCAGGAACGTGATATGATTGTACGGTATGCAGATGAAGAACGTGATCGATCGTTTATGCAATTGGCTCGGATGATCGACGTAGAAAAACAAAAAGTGCGTTACAAAAGTCAAGAATTGAATGGGCTACCATTGAATGCAATCCCAGCGTATATTCGAGAATTAAAAGCTGAACTTCAATATTTAACTATTGAAAACAACGATTTAATCAATGTTAGTAGTACAGCACCTCGTATTCTACTACAGCAACGTGGCTCACAGCGGAAATCTATCTACGATGACGACGACAACATGTTCAACTGACTTCATTTTTGTATGAGCTCGCGCTTTTCTTCCAAGCAACATTTGTAATTTAATTCGTTGCTGTATGGAAAAACTTTACTGATTTTTCTTATGCAGCAATTTTTCCATACGATCATAACATAAAAGTCTCAGTGAAAATGTGGAGCTTTTATACTTCAGAAAGATTATACTTCATTCTCTTTTACAAAACGTACAAGTTCAATCTGACATGCTTTCATTTGATTAAACTAAAGAAGTCTATAATACAAAAAAAAAACAAATTAATTTGCTGTAAAACTCCTTCACATTTTGTCTATTATATATAAGCAAATTTCCATTTCAATCTTTCATTATTTTTGGATTTCGTTGAGCAAATATCTCATGTTCTTCATCGCTCACTGTCTGAAAGTAGAACACAACTTGAGGGTGATTTTGACACTAATACAGGTTTCCTTTACCATACTGATTACCACTTTGTCAGCTTTACTCACATTTACAGTCTCCATAGTGCACTTTATACCTATTGTGACAAAGCTTATTGATCCCAGAGCAGCACTTCGAACCATTGTGTTCTAACCCTAAAATCAGGCCATGTTATCTAATATAACAAGTATAATAATTCAAGCATGTTTTCTTACACGATGAGACGTTTGCAGTTAAATTTGTCATTTCTGTTTCTTTTTCCAGTAAAGATCTGTTTAGTTGCGCAATCCGATTTATATCTTGCAATAAATGATTCCGCGTATGTGTATCATCATATTTTATATACAACCAAAAAATCCAAATACTTTCAATAGTGATAATTGCTAATAAAACTATCGATATTGAAATACATAATAATTGATATTTCTTCTCCTTTGATGATCCAACACTTTCTCCAAAGCAAAGTTTTCTCTTCACATATTCACCCGGTGCCATGTATTTGCTATCCAGGTGATTGTCGTTTCCCATCATGCTCTGATAGTTTAAACCTTCGAAAATAAGCGCATCGAACAGTTTCCGTTCATATTGTTCGCTCTTTCTCCCTCTCTTGACTTACGTGTATTTACAGTTACTTTGTCGACGTCTTCTTGATCATCGATCAACGTATCAAACTTTGAAGTCGTTTGTATTGTCTGAACTTCTGTCGACTCATTCACAACTCCAGTCGATCGTACTGACTGCATATATTCTAAACACAACAATAAAACATCTAACATCAATGTCATCATCAATATGTTCATCATACTTTGCAGATTTTTAGCTGCATCCATACAGCCAATATCTCTGAATGCATCGATCAACAATGTTACATCACTTTCGTTGATTTTGTCTTGATCAAATAACGATTGCCAGAGATCAACAGTACCGTGGATTGTCGTGTCATCTTGAATAGGTCGAGTAACATTATCACCAAGAAGAAAATGAAGTCGTTTGCGAGATTGATCACTAAGACGATCGCCGACTTTCAACAGAACTTTTCTTAGGTTCTGATTATTCATTAGATGTAGAGATTCAACTGGCTAATCTGAAAAGAAAACAGTCGATGATATAGAGGGAAAAGTAGATGATAGGACTGGGAGATTTCGATGCAGTTGTGTATTAGGAAATATCGTCTATTATAAATGAATACAGGAGAGTGTGTACGTGTGTTGTTTTTCTCTTGAAAAACATAGTCGGAGAGAAGAACACGAGGAAAATAGAGAGGGGGGCGATGAAGAATGACGCAGAAGAGACAGAACGAAAGAAAACAGTATTTTGCTAGTAGCATACCAAAACAGACAAGCGCATATGAGTATTGGAGTGACACGAGGAAGAATCGTGACAAAAGCGGAATAGAAAAAAAGAACAAAATATTTTTACAGAGGAGAGTACGAGCATAAAACGAGAACTACACTAATTGGAGTACCATATCATATATTATCAGAACAAAACATGAAGAAGAAATTGGATTTTACATTTTTAGAAAACTCCGAAAAAAGTCGACAAATTTGTTCGTAGACTTTCACTTTCTTTCTATTTTAACATTTAAATTAGTATCCAATTTCACATCTATTTTTCTGATAGTTGTTCTCGAACAGATATGAATAATGTATGAGAAAGAAAACTTTCCCATCTGATTATGAAACTTGTAAAACGCTGTGTACGTAACAGGTAGATAGTTTCGGAATGAATCATATCTATAAATATGTGTCTATAAATCATTTGTGGGAGATTTCAATAATTTCCCTTTAGATAAAAATAACACAGATATGTTTGAATCATGATGATACGAAGAATCTTTTCGTAAGAATTTTATTGGCAAACTAATTATTAAAAACAGACTATCTTCAACTTTGCCCTATTTATCGTTGAGTCTGTTATATTTTTTTAATATTTGTTTTATAGTTTCATGCGATAATGCATCGACTTTCAATCCTTTATATCCAATCATTGTTTCTGCTGCTACCATCGAATTCAGAATTGCTTCTTCAACACATTGAATTGTTGCTTCAAATAACGGATTCATAGCGTCATTGATCATGAATTCTGCTTGTTTTGTCGTTGTTGTTTGATTGGAGAATTCAGCTGTCGAGAATGCTAAGAATATTTCCCCAGACGAATCTCCAGCAATGCCTCCAAGTCTTGCTATTCCAAGTGAAGCACGAACGGCTAAACGTTTGAGTTGATGTGGTAACAAAGGAGCATCAGTTGCAATAATAACAATAATCGAACCGACATCTTTGTCAGGAACTTTCGCGTTCACCCTTTCCATTTCTAAGATTTCTTCGCCAACAGGAATACCGGCAATAATTAATTGTTTTTTACGTCCAAAATTCGACTGTACCAACACTCCGACTGTATAATTCAATTCTGGAACGATTCTTGAACTTGTTCCTGTTCCTGCTTTAAACCCGAATGTTATCATTCCAGTGCCACCACCTACATTGCCTTCTAGAACTGTTGTTCCCGATCCTTTCGCATTCTCTAGTGCTTCGAAAACATGTTCTTCCGTTACATGAAATCCATGGATATCATTCAAGAATCCATCCCATGTTTCAGCAACCACCGGTAAACTTGAATCGACGATATTGCCTGTCTGAGGGATGACATTCTTCTTAACGAACCATTTCATTAATGATTGATGGCAAATTCCAACAGCATGTGTATTCGTAATCAAAATCGGTGTTGTTAGAAAACCGGATTCAGTCAGCCAATGAATTCCTGTCATTTCACCATTACCATTCAAACTAAACCAGTTGGCAAAACAGAGTTCGTTGTTTAAAACTCTTTCCGGTGCACGCGGAAAGATTGCTGTGACACCTGTTCGTACGGAATCGCCTTCGATAATCGTACTAAATCCGACCTCGACTCCTTGAACATCAACGATCGAGTTCGATTTACCCGGAACGCCATTAAACGGAATGCCTAGATCACGAGCACGAGGCTTAGATTTATCCGAAGCACTCGACATAGTCTCATCAACACAAAAGAATGAAAAGAAGAAGAACAGATTTACAATTTTGGTTATCATGTTTGCGCTTTATGGCCATCGTTATCTGCAAATATATATACATAGCCTCGTTGATAAACTTTGCCTACTACTTAACAGTTTCTTTTAACATTTGTGTGATATATTCTTGTGATTTATTTAAAAAAAATACATTTTCATTCAAGGTTATTTTTTAAAGAAGAGTGTGGTATTGATTTGTTTCGTTATTTTGCTGCAGACATAATTTAGTTAAGAACTGAAGTTTGCGATGAATCACCGCTTGTTTGAGTTGATTTTTCTCTAGAGCTTCTTTCAACGAATCGATCTGTTCTTCCAACTGATGTTGATTTGCCAACATTCGTGTTTGGATCAGTAAATGAAATTGTCGCCATTGTTTTTCAAATTCATTCAATGTAATAGATGCATTCGGACTGGAAAACTGTTCGGATGAATTTGATAAGGTTTGAGAGGAGAGATTTTGCGAAATCAAATGATAAATTTTATGATGACCTAAACGTCGAGCTAATTCAATGGGCAATTCATGTCGACCATTTCGAATATTCAACGATGCATCAGCATGAATCAATATTGCTGTACAGCCTGCATGTTTATAACGAATAGCAGAATGCAATGGTGTATCACCATCACGATTGACTGGATTTAAATTCGCACCAGCATAGATTAACAGTCGGCAACATTCATTATGACCGAATTTACAAGACATATGTAATGGAGTATTGTTATCATAGTCGAAATGATCGACATGAGTTTCATACTCGAGAAGAAGAGTTAAGATTTGACTGTAACCATAGGCAGCAGAAACATGTAGGCACGTTTTACCATCTCGATCGTAGAGTGAAGTATTAACTCCTTCTTTTAACAAACGTCGTACTACTTCGGTATGGCCGAGGTAAGTCGCCGTATGGAGAAGTGATCGTCCATTTAATGGATCGATTGAACTGATCGAATAACCAGCACGAATGAGAATTTGCAATGTGTGCGGATCGTTGGCTTGCACTGCGGCAAGAACAGGATCTCCGTGTCCATCAGTTGTTGCTGATAGTGGTTGAAGAATTGATTTGAGTTGTGAATCGAATGCAGTCGACATAATTCAATGTCGTGTATTGCATAAGAATGGTTTCAGTTTTTTTCTTCTTCATTATTATTGGGGGCAGAGGAGGACAAAGATGAAGATTGAAACAGAACGTAACAAATTTGTCAATGTCGTTCTTTTCAAGTAGAGACACTTATATTTAAAAAAAAAGGTTCGTTTCTTTTACGGAACGAAAAACTTTGTCGAAGTTCAAATGACATTGAAGCATGAATCTATCCTGTATATGTTTTTTTGATGATGATCTGAGGAAATTGTATTGTAAATAGAACAATATGTCTGAGCATGAATTTCAACACTGATGAAAACGATCAACAGCAGTTTCGATCAATCAGTTTATCAATCGTTCGCCTCTGTTCAAGCTTTCCTTCTTTCTTCTACGATAGTTATGTCAATATACGCTCTTTTTCTTTTCTTTTACTCGTAATTATTTTTATTTGTATTTCTAGGAAGTAAAGA